AAGTTAATAATTTCTTTCTTGTCCTGCTAGTAAATCTCATCCTGTCCCCCTAGATAATGTTCTGCTGCTGCTGTTTTGTGTGAGGGGTGCATTTTGTGATGATAACCACGCAGTGCCAGCGGCTCCCAGCGCAGCCCTGTTACGGGACAAGGGCGGTGCCTGCATGGCCCCCCGTGCTCGCCGCGGCTGTCCTCCCCGTGGGACACGGGGGCTGGCGGCGCCGCCCACGCCTCACTGCCCCCTCCTCCGTGTCCGCGTGCCCGGGCCAGGGCTCCGCCTCGCGCGTTCAGCCACCCGCTGGCGGCGGGGGGCCGGGGGGGACTCTGGTGCCCTGGCCGCCCCAGCTGTCCCTGATGGGGCTCGCGACCCGCCTACCGGCCCGCTGGGTAACGGGCGGCAGCTGCGGGCCGCGGGGCCGGGACGAGCGGCAGCTGTGGGGGGGCGGGCACGCGCTGCGGCCGGGACGGCCGTTGAGGGCAGCTCGCGCTGGGGCTGCACTGCGAGGCGGGTGCTGCTGCTGGGTCCGGCGCCGGAGGAGGTGAGCAGGGCCGTGGGGCGCGCTCGGGGCTGGGGGTGCCGTGTGAGGTGGGGGGTCCCGTGCCACGTGGCCCGCTCAGGGTGTGCCGGGATGGGGCAGCTGCCCTGGGGCTGGTAAGGGCGGTGAGGCTGGGATGTGGTGGGTGGGAGTGACGCCCTGGGGATGATGCCCTGTTGGGGGGGGGGGTAGGGAAGGGCAGGGTGCCCGCTGGGGCTGGGTTACTCCTTGTCCCAGGTGGAACCTAGTTGTTGCTCTCGGGCTTCCCTTAGTTGCTCTCTGCTCTCCAGAACATGTGTTTAATCTGTGCTAGATTTCCCTGGAGATTATTATTGTGCTGTCCAGTTCTTTCTGTCCTGCAGAGCCCCAGAAACACCTTTGTTTTACTTTGGAGTGTTCTTTGAGTGCCTCCTTTTGTGCTCCAGCTCTGTCTGGGCCTTTTGACCTTGGTAGGACCCCTGTAGTCTCTGCAGAACCCCTTCCTGAGGCCTCAGTTCTGCTCCAGAACCCTCTGTCTGTTCTCTGGCCTTGTTAGTCCCTTGGTGGTCTCCTCATGCATGTCCTTTGTCTGGAAATACAGAGCTAGTACCCGCCAGGGGAGCTACTAATTCCATTCTGCCCACTCACTGCCACTCACTGCCTCTCTCTCTCTCTCTCTTTTTTTTTTTTTTTTTTTTTTTTTTTTTTTTTTTTTTTTTTTTTTTTTTTTTTTTTTTTTTTTTTTTTTTTTTTTTTTTTTTTTTTTAATTTGCTCTAGGTGCTGTGCAGTTCTGTGTATTCCCTCCTGGGAAGTACTTGTGTTACAGATGCAGCAGTTTAGTTTGATATCCTGATTTGCCCTGGAGGAACTGCCATCCTGTTAGAGCAGCCGCAGCACATGCAGGGTCGAACCTGTTACAATGCGTTGGGATAGTGTTCCCTTCACAGCAATGTCTCTGAACCATGAACTTGTGGACACCAAACACCAGGGTGACAGGAGGAATGTAAATAGACCGCTAAAACAAGTAGCAAGGAGCCTTGAAACAGAGTTACCTGTTACAAACTGGAGCTACAAAAGAAGGGACCATCTGCGCTGTCAGCAAAACCTGGAAGAACTGCCCCATAACCAGGTGTTCTTGGGAAGCATCCGCTCCAGGGGCAAGGTATATTCCGGTCGGGGATAGAGGGGCAGCGTGACCATTGACTCGGTCACCGCCGCCTCGAGAAACCCTCCACCTCGAAAGAAAGAGCAGCAGAGCAGCAACACATGTGCAGGTATGTAGGAGGTAGGTGAGACAAGCTAAGCGATGCTGTGGAAGTTGAGTTGCAAAATGTCCTAGGGAGATGGCACATGGCAATGGTCCAAATCATGAGTTGACTGACTGAGCTGCTAGAGGCGCTATCTTTGTGGAATCATCTTTATCTTAAATGCTACTTTTGCAAATTCTTCTGATGTGAGAGGATGGGTGAGCAAAGGGTTGCTCACATGTGTTTCATTTTTCCATGGTGGCTCGTTGGCAGTAGTTAATGTAAAGTCTATGATTACTAATAACCTAAAGTGAGATATTAACCATGAAATGGTGTTAGAGGGAAAGTGTTATCATTTGAAATCTTCCTCGGCCAGTATTTACATAACAAAAAACTAACCTGACAGGGTGACTTGGAGTAATGGGATGTGACAGGGATTGCGTAAATGAGAGTATGAGAACAGGGATTGCACAGATTTCCAGCATAAGTACTTTTATTTCCGTATGCTTTCCGTGCTGTTTCTGCTCTGTTCACATCTGTATGGTAAGAGCTTCTTTTGCTGTACTAGCATGCTGTCTTTCTGCTACTTAACATGGTTAGGGATAGACAACAGATGTTTTTCATGATGTTGATGTGTGTTGATGGACTGGATATGTTGATGACTAAATAAGCATTAGCTATCAAGTTTTTGAAGAACTTTGTTATTTTTCAGGTTTTCATCAAACTGTTGGGTACTGAGGATTTCAGTGTGGCAGTGCTCAATCCCTGTAAAACTAGCCGGCTTGTCTGCAGCAAAGATCTTTCAGTATGCTAGATAGACTCTACAGGAAAAAAAAAAAAAAAAAAAAAAAAAAAAAAAAAATCCACTTTCTGCAGTCTAAATACTTCTACCACAGCTATTAATGACTAGAGGGATTACTGTAGCGGTGGACAGCCCTGTGGAATGAGGATGCTCTTGCTCCTCCTGTTCCGTCCTCAACAGGTGAACGCATTTATGTGTTTTGTATTTTCCACCTCCGGTTGTCTTGTGTTTCACTGAGGGAGCTGGGGTTATTTAGTGTGGAGAGGAAGAGGCTCGAGGGAGACCTTATTGCTCTCTACAACTATCTGGAAGGAGGCATTAGTGAGGTGGGGGTTCATCTCTTCTCCACAGTAACTACATGTAGGACAAGAGGAAATGGCCTCAAGTTGCACCAGGGGAGGTTCAGTTTATACGTTAGGAAGAATTTCTGCATGGAAAGAATAGTCAAGCATTGGAACAGGCTGCTCAGGGAAATGGTGGAGTCACTGTCCCTGGCAGTGTTGAAAAAAACATGTAGATGAGGCACTTAGGGACATGTTTTAGCAGGATGGTCTTGAAGGGTTTATGGTTGGACATGATGATAGTGAGGGTCTTTTTCAACTATAATGATTCTATGATCATTGCCAGTAATTCTGCATTAGATGTTCACTGCTACCACTTGCTAGATTTAAATCGTGCAGAGCTCTGATGCTTTCTCATAAAATCAGAACAATTTGATGCCACACATCCCGCTGGGTACCGATTTTGTGATGATGATTCAAGAAGATGAAGGTTTGTATCCAAGATAAGTTGTGAATATAATAGGTAGATAAACGTAGTCATACCTTTTCCCCTAAAGGCTGCCCATCCCTTTTTAAAATCATTGCTATCAGATCTTGCTATGACTAACCAGGCTAAGTAAATCTAAACTGATGTTCCTCTGCCCTGATGGAGAGTACCAGATCACATTAGGAAGAAATTTTGTGTGAAGGAAGGAATGGTAACGATGTGATTTTTCTAACCTTGTTCCGTTCTTGTTTTTCAGGTATAGAATATAACTTTGAGCAGGGCTGGGGCAGCACTTTGACAGGGTCCCGTGAGCATTGTTTTTGCCATTTGAGGTAAATATGAAAACTTGCCTGTGGTGGAACTCGGATTCTATCTCGGCTTTCCTGTGCGGCAAATTGCTGAACACGAGTACTTGCTGCCACCAAGACTGAGAAATACTGGTTTTTATGGTGTGGTGGTGTGGGCTTTTTTGTTTGTTTGTTTTTTCCCTTCTCCTGTAATGTAATTTTAAAGTCATTCTGTACTTAAGTTACAGTGTAACTTCAAATATTTCATTTATTTCAGGAGCTTTGCAGAGGAAATCTATGCCTCCCCTTGCACAGATATTGTGTACCAGGGTCAGACTAGCTTATTAATTTTGCCAGTACTGATCAAATTGTGCCGAAGCTGGCTTCATTTTCCTTGGTCTTGCTTCAGATATTAAAAAGAAGTATCTGCATCGTGCAATTTGCATCATAGCTTTGCTCTCTTTTGCTCAGGTCTGGTTGTTGCTCTCGTTCTTTGTGCTGCTGTAGCACATCCACACTGCGTGGCACTAGTGCAGGAGGTGTTGGTTGGGGCTGGACATCCTTGTAGCCACCGTGTAGTGAGGCTGTGTTTCTTCTGCTGCTGCTCTATGCTCCTGTGTCTTCATGGTGCCCTTTCATGGTTTTATTTCCTGTATTGCCAAGGATTTGGGCCTTTCTGAATGGCCAGATCCGTTGTTTTCCTTGTGCCAGCAGTTCTCATTTTGGGTTACACGCGGGGCTACTAAGGGGCGCTCTGTCTCTCCAACCTCGTGGCTGTTTGCGGCTTTTCATCTTTGTGGCTGTTAGTGAGGCCTCATCAGCTGCTCCTTCCTCTTCTGAGGGCTGTCTTGTTTTGCACTTTCCTGATGTCCTGCCAGAGTTCTCTTTGCTGCGGTCACGCGATCTTGGGTCCTTGCTGGCCCCTTCCATCGTGGGCCATGGCCTTTGATTCTCTTCTGGTCTTATCCAGAACATGAGCGCTGCACACCTGTGATTTCATTAGGCTTTCTGGTGCTCAGCATCTTAGATGTGGCTGTAGTTCCTTTTGCGTAGAGTTTTTCTCTATGTTTGTGCCTATTGTGTGTGTGTGCCTCTGTTTTTGAGGCTGGAACTGCCTTGTTGGTGCATATTCACAGTGGTAGTGTGTAGAGTGTGACAGTGAGGTACTGGAATGGGGATTGCTCAGACACTCTGTGCGGCACTTCCAGTTCCGGTTGCCTTTTTGCTTTGTTGCAGATGCAGATCAGTGTTCTGTGCAGACCCTGGGGAGATGGAGGAAGCAAGGGTTGTGCCCTAATAAGAAGGTGAGCTGGACGGTTGCTGTGGTGAGGGGAGTGTTGTGATTGGTGGGTCCCCTGATGAATTTTTACTTTGTGCATGCAGGTGTGGAGGAATGTGACAAGCAGCTTGGTCGTGTCTCTGGCAAGCACAGTGAGGTGAGTGTCGCTCCATAAGAGGGATTGGAGTGTAGGATGAGCGTCTTGCTGACGCCATCCCCATTGTCCACTGTTGTTCTGCTTCTACAGGTGCTGCTGTGGCAGCTTCCCCGTGGTGACAGAGCCCGGCAGTCGGCAGGAGCAAGCAGAGCAGGTAAAGGCGCAGGAGTGAACACTCCATGGGAATGGGCTGTGGTCTTGCTCACATCACTGCAGCACGTGATTTCCCTGTCTTTGCAGAATCTTTCAGCAAGTT